ATATTATGTTATTAGCATAGTACAATATCAGTATTAAATATTGTACTGTACCATTATATTGTAATATTATTAGTAATATTACATGTAATATAAATATATAATTAAAATATATTATTGTTATTAGTAGTATATTGCATTGCATTACAATATTATAAATATTATATGTATATACTATATATTATATTACATTATATTATAGTAATAGCATAGCACAGGAGACAAGGTGGAACTGCACCCTGTAACGGAGATCAACGATATCTTGGGCAGGGGGGACAAGCAATCCACCACTGCCCACCGGTGTGAAGTATTAACGTTCAGCTGGACACTACTTTAATAAGGATAAATGACTGTGACAGAGGGGGAAAGACTCTCTTATCCCACCTCAGTAATATTGTTGAGTGACCAACTGTATTAACGAATGTTAATTACTGATGTAATTGGTAGTTTTGCCGCCACCACCTCAATATATGTCGAAGGAAAACATGAGTGTGAATGTGAAAAAATAGGTAAAGTGGATTCAAGCTCTTGTTCTTCTTTAAAGACTGCTTCTCTTGCTGACTGGACTGAAATTACGTTGACTTTAGGCTTGCTGAGATCTATTGAGAGTAACAGACCGAGGCAGACACCAGTTTAAAGATGAATTAGAAACAGGTTTATTTTAAACTTGGTGAACAAATCAACTCTTAAAAAGAGTGGTACAAAAGCGTAATGCGTTTCAGAGGCTTAGCTGGTTAGACAAGCAGTCTTTCCTTAAGACTTTAACTTTTGTTCCCCAGTAAGTTCCTTGCTTCACACTGCCACTACTTTGACACAGTGTATCCCTGAGAACAGCCCACTGACTGCCTCACAGAGCAAAATAGGCTTTCCTTCACTGACCCTTCTATGTACAATGAACCAGGAACCTCTGCCTTTCCTATGCTCTAACTACAAGGCTCACTTCAAAAGTTCTTCCTCCCTGTCTAAATTCCTCTCAGCTCCCTCTCCCTAAAATACTTCTTCACTCTACGATGTTTAAAGCTCTTCTCCCCAGCTTGTCAAAAAGACACAGCCTTTTTCCCTCTAAAAGCTAGCTCCTTCCCTGACTGCACTAGCCAATCAGGAGTCGGCTGACTCCTCCCTCTTGCCTCTTAGCTCTCCAGCCTATCTCTCAACATGTCAGCTACTGACTTTCCAGGCTTCGGCCTCCTGGCAAAAGGTTAGATTCACCACACACCCCTGGGCCCCCCTCTCTTCACTCTGGCTCAGAGCGGCAGTTGGTGCTGGAGGAAGGGGTCCCCAGCTGATAACATATGCAGGAGACAAGATGGAACTATCCCCTCCCCCCCCCCACTTCTCTCTGGCCCAGTAAATATACAATATCTATATAGAATGCTAGGCTGAATGCTTCTCATTGTAGTTTTCAAGGTTCAGCAAAGTTTTTTTTAAATTAAACTTTAAATATGTTACATATGCAGCAATTCATATAATCCTTTTTCTTTTGAAAAATAATTGACATCAATTACGCAATTCTGTTCCATATGTATTTGATCTCCCCCCAAGCCTTTGGTTATTGCATATTGCAAAAACACACCATCATCTTCTTTATTCTTTTATAGCAATTAAGTTATATATGGCAGGCCAACAAAATCTATTCTGCGAGTGGTATGCAAGTGAGACAGAATCAAGAGAGAGATGCAGTACAACTCAGCATTAGCATCAGAAAATGGAAGTGGAATTTTTGAGATAAAGGTTCCATGCCCACATTGTTCATCAACATTTATCTTAAGTATACAATACAAGAGCCATGCTATCCAGGAACTGCGAACTCCGAAAAACTGTTTGTCTTCCGCTGTTCCTATTAGTATCACAAAAATGCTAAAATAATCCATTTGGAATGGGACAAAAATTCTGATTGACTATATCCACCCTTGTACTACTCCCCATTCCTCATATATTTGCAATAGAAATTATATGAAAAAAATTCCTATTGACTGTTTAGAAGAAAATTGGTACTCATACATAACATTCACTAAGGACCTCATCACACGAAGGTCCAAAATCCGGGGGACAGTGTGGGAAACTGTGGGGCAGTGCCCAGCTTAGTAGCTGCCATCCCATGACGTTTCCCAGGCATCTCTGGCTTCCTCTCGTGCTGTCCCTGGCTTCTTCAATGAGGATAAAGGTAGTCACCCATATCCTCAGGGCTCCCTTTTAGTGTGCTGCCAGCTAGGATGGGTTCTGGCAGACTCCATCCTGGCAGCACACCAACAACACACTAGAACGGGGGGAAACCCCAGTCTGATGAGTTCTTAAATCTTACAATTCTGAACAAGAACAAACAAATTCAAAGTCTACAGAAACACACAGTCATTAACAGAAATAAACTTTGAGAGGATAATCATTATTTTGTTAAGTAAGTACACTTCTAAACAGAAGTGGATTAGATGGAATAGCATGTATACTCAGAAATAACTCCAATGTCTTCAAAGGGCTTATTCCTAGAAAGTGTACTGATCATTGTCCACTTAACTTGCAATTTTAACCACATTTATTATCTGTTTAATGAGAAACAACAAATAAGAAGCTCATAGTGTAAGTCATTGGTTTAATCTTTACTATTTTAGCTTAACACCATTGCCTAGGTAGGATAAACTCAGGGATACTGGCTCAAATTTTCAAATCTCTCGTTCCTGGGCAAGGTGATTGAGAGGGCAGCAGCGGAGCAGTTGCAGCAATTCCTAGACAACACAGCCAGACTAGATCCCTTCCAATCTGGCTTCCGTGCAGGGCACGGGACAGAGACTGTGCTGGTCTCCATCACGGATCACCTTCGATGCCAGCTTGACCAGGGCGGGTCAGCGCTGCTCGTGCTATTGGATCTCACAGCAGCATTTGACACAGTCGACCACAATCTCTTGACCCACCGCCTTGCTGTTGCTGGATCAGGGGGACAGCTTTAAACTGGCTGTCCTCCTTTCTTCACAACCATGGACAGCGAGTGGAGAGGGGAGGCCTGGTCTCTGAGAGGTACCCTCTATCTTGTGGGGTTCCTCAGGGGGCCATTCTCTCCCCTCTGTTGTTTAACATCTATATGCGACCACTTGCTCAGCTGGTTCGAGGTTTTGGGCTTGAGTGTTATCAGTATGCCGATGACACTCAGCTGGTGCTGAAGATGGAAGGCCGACCGGACTCTGTACCCGATTGTTTCCATCAGTGCCTCGAGGCCGTTACTGGATGGCTGCGTGCCAGCAGGTTGAGGGTGAATCCAGCAAAGACGGAGATCCTATGGCTGGGTGGACCGGGCAGTGGGGACATCCATCTGCCCACCCTGGATGGCGAGGCGTTACGCCCGTCATCATTGGTAAAGAGTCTGGGAGTCCTTTTGGACCCTCTGCTGACAATGGAGGCCCAGGTCTCCGCCGTGAGCAAAACCGCCTTCTTTCACCTGCGGCAGGCTAGACGGCTGGCCCCCTACCTGTCCAGGGACGACCTAGCTACGGTGATCCAGGCCACGGTCATCTCAAGACTGGACTACTGTAACGCCCTCTACATTGGCCTCCCTCTGTCAGTGATTCGGAAGCTCAAGTTGGTACAAAACGCAGCTGCTCGGCTTCTTGCGGGAATTCCGATGAGATGCCACATAACACCAATCTTACTACAGCTGCATTGGTTACCAATTGAGCACCGGATCACTTTCAAAGTGATGGTACTCACCTTTAAGGCCTTGCATGGTCTGGGGCCAATGTATCTGAGGGATCGTCTCACCCCCTACCAACCCCAGAGATCCCTCCACTCTGAGGACCAAGATCTATTGGAAGTCCCCAGTGTCAAGACCTTGCGTCTAACGGCAACCAGACGCAGAGCCTTCACAGCAGTGGCGCCATCAGTCTGGAATGCTCTGCCACCTGAAGTTCGTGCCCTGCGGGACTTACCAGCTTTCCGCAGGGCATGTAAGACATACCTGTTCCGACAGGCTTTTAATGTTTGATACTGTTGTTTTTAAATTGTTTTAAATTGCTTTTAAACTTTGTTAGATTTTAGCTATTCTTGTAAGCCGCTCCGAGCCCCAGGGGAGTGGCGGCATATAAGTTTAAATAATAAATAAAATAAATAAATAAATAAAATTTAGCCAATGAGATTCATGTTTAAGTGAAAGTTTGAGTTTCAATCAGAGATTTTTCACCTCAACTATAGCAATGCTTCCAGTTTAAACACAAGTACTATGTTTTGGTCAATGTACATATGATTGTCCTGTTAAGCATAAAATTAAGCTCTAAGTAGATGGAAATATATCTGAATCTTGGTGGGATCCAATCAGACTTAGAGCAGACCCACTGATATCCAATTCTCCCTCTGATAGAGGTAGGGAAATTGTAGTCTTTCAAATATTGTTTGGTTTTTCTCTTCCAGACCTGGCCTACTTAATGGTAAGGAATGCCAGGAATTAGTCCAACAACATCTGGCAGACTTCATTTTGCTCACTGCAACTATGAAACAATTCACATTTAAAAGCAAAATGTATTTCCCATCCACCAAAGACTAAATTATACTTTCGCCATTCTAATGTATTACTATGTTGTTGTGGCACTACAGTTAAATCAAGCTGTCTCATGCAATAAAACACAAAGTGGTAAATCTGATAAACAGCTTCCCCCAAAGGTCAAAGTTAATAGGTTTTTACTCAGAAGAATAACACTGAGCAAAAAAGATGTTTTCAGCATTAGTTATCTAGAGAACTGCAGATACAATATACCAAATCAGCCATGCTATTTAAGGGAAGGACATAGAAGACTTCTGAACCTTCCTTTGCCCTTGGTATAAAATGTATCAGACTTTGGATAAAAACAAATGAACAGAACCATTTTAGTATGAATGCCGAATTTGAACATACAGTTTTTAAAATAGGGAGATTTGAATGTTTTCTCAATAGGCAAGGGCAAAGGAGATAATCAATTTTATCAAAACTTTTATAAGAACTACAATTTGTAACCGTTGAACATTTTTTATTCCATTTGCCTTACCTCTGTCACTAAAGTCATCCACAAGAATGATTTCTGCTATCAGGCTGTTGGGAGTCCTGTTGATAATGCTGTGTATGGTCCGCAAGAGTGAAGTCCAGCCTTCATTATGAAATGGGATAATTATACTAGTGTTTGGAAGCTTCTCCAAATAGACTTTGTGCTTACAGCTGAGGAAAAGAAATGGAAAAAAAGAAATGTATAAGAATATAACAGATCAAAACAGGTTCATCACTCTCAAATATTTCACCACCATAAATACATTTGTTTATCAAATACACAAACAGTTCAAATTACTTTAACTATGGTGATCCTCCTTGTTATTTTGTCATTTCTGGATATTGATGTTTTAGGTAAATCTTCTGTCCTAGAAACTGGAACTCTTTCATTAAAATGCCAGATGTTCAACGATTTGGAAAAACTTCATAAAACAACAATAATTTAAAAGCCCTAGGCGGGCTTCCTTGGAAAATCCACTGAATTTGTGATGGCTTTCTCCCAAATAGATTTGCAGACAATGGCCATAAATTCACAGTGTTTTCTGTTTATAAGACTCATATCTGTCTGTGTTCCCTTAAATATCACCATAATTTCCAGTTACCTATGGATTTTCACTCATAACCTAGAATAGTCCATGTCTACTTTTGCTAATAATGTATTGCTAGGGTGCATTGCATTTCAAACCAGATATAAAAATTTAAAGTGTAAGTCTATAAAAAAAACATATGATCAGATGTTATCATTACTATCATGATTATTTTGTTTTGCTACCACTGTTATTATTTTCATAATACTACTTAACACCCAGCCTCATGGGGCCTCTGTTCGCTAGCTCCTTATTGGTCTCCAGCCAGAATCTCACTCACTCCAGTATCTGCCTCCATCATTCATATGACTTCAGGCAACATCTTTTCACTTCTGTCTTCCCCTCCCCAAACAACTATTACTGATACTGAACATGTCAAGTCATCACCATATCCACAAGTTTTGCATCTCTATGGCAATTCACACACATGCACAGTCTACCTATAAATTTTCTTCCTAGGCACTTTAATCCATGCATCTGAGGAAGTAGACTTAGGACCGCATTGCACTGATGAGGTCCAGTGTCATGATTGGCTAGTCTCCAGGCTGAACCAGGGTAGCATCAGGGCAGCAGTGGGGCAATACCGTTGTCCTGGTTGCAGGTGATGCTTTCCCATCCCAAATGGGAAGGTGATGCCACTCCGCCAAAGTCCTGTTGTTCCTAACAGGGTGGCTTCTGTGTTGAAGGCAGCAGTGTCCCACCACACTATCACCTCAGTTCACCCAAGGATCCCCACCAAATGTCGCCCTACATCATATGATGAGAGATGTGGGGCTCAATTGGGGCAGAAGCATCCTAGGGTGCTTCTTCTGCCTCATGTGATAAGGCTGTAAATCTACAAAAATGCAAGAACTACAAACCCTTTAGTATTTGCCAACAGCAGCTCAAAGTACTTTAATTTTCACCACTTTAAACCTTTTTATATATGTCTTCAGTGTGCACGATGTCATAAGTCCTGCCATTTCCTCAGTTAATCTCTATAGTGGTACAAGATCTTTTTCATACGATTATTGTTGCACTTGGGCTGACCACTGCAATTACTACATATTAGGGCCAATGCTAGAGTCTAGTTTAAATGGAAGGTAGGACCCCAAAAAATAACTTAAGAGCAGAAATATACTACAGAAATTATGGCCATTGTAAAAGTTCCACCAGCACTGAAGTACTACCAGACCAAAATGTTTACATTCTCACAATGGGGACCTGAGAATGACTGACCATGTTCATTAGGCTATTGCATGGGATCGGAAATAGTAATTAATAGGTCTACTGGGATGAGAGTTCTGTAATTTTGATGCAGAGTGTGCTATTTGATGAATCTCATTCAATATTATTGGTCACAAAGGAAAAGATCCACAACCTACACAGGGTGTAACAGCATCAGGCTTTGTAAAAGCCCATCCAGACAGTCCTTTAACCTGAGACCTCTCTCGTTTTTACTGGAAGTGTCTAAATGATGCTCCTGGTAAAAGCGATGTTGTAGTTCAGCATGTTGCTCAAGTTGCTACTTCTAGTAGCAGGGAAAACGGGTCTCCTTTGGAGTCAGAGGGGGAACAGCAGTGTCAGCACATTAGAGAAATCATTATGGCTTCAAGCGATACTGACACGTTCCTAGGTTTCACTGATTGGGAAATGGGGATGGGGAAGGGAGCAGAGGTGTAAAGAGAGCTGCTCGAGAGCCTGAGTCTGAAGGGGAATTACAAAGGAAGCGTATTCGGGAAATATTTTGTGTACCAACAGAGGAGGAAGATTTCTTTGGGTTTGAAAGGAGTTCTGGGACTGGGAGTGACATGGACGATGATGAAGAGTTAAATTGGACCTGTGTGCAAAACATATCTGTAACCAGCCCACCTCTAGTGAGGAATTTGAGGGGTTCACTGAAGATTGGCAGCCAGGGGATCTGAATCCTGATACTCGTTGGCAGAGGTGGAGGGATGGGCATTCAGCTGCAGGCTTGGGAGCAGCTGGGAGTGATGATGAGAGGGTGGGGAGCTCATCAAGCTCCGATGATGAATTGTAAGATATAAGGGGGTTCAGTTTGAATGGCAAGTTGCAGAAGGCAAAGTGTTGTCTTGGGGACATAAGTCTTGTATCTGCCAACTTTTCACCTTGGGTCCTGGGCTATAGCCTCGTGTGTTCCTGTGTTCCTGTTTCCTGAGTGACTTCAACGTTTCAGCCTTGCTTCGCTACGGAATTGACTACGGACTGGTTTGACTACGCTTTTGGACTTCTGGACTTTGTTTGCTAATATCTTTGTGACTTTAACAACTTTCAGTTTTGAAATAACGTTCTTTCAACTTCACAGACTGTGTTCTTGCTACATTTTGATTTTTAAGCAAATTGCTCCATCTTTAGTTTAATCCGGATTAAAAGGCAGCGCTATAATCTGGATTATATTTTACTTTCTTCTATTGACTTGTTTAAGGTGCCAAATTGCTCCAGCAGACTTAAGCACTGCAGTTAAGTGCTTTTCAAGACCTTTTGTTAACAATAAAGCTGTGTTTTACCGTTTGAACTGTGTCTGGCATGTTTAAAGGCTTCTGGGTTCTGACAAGCACATTAATGGAGAGTAAACTGAGGTGTTTTTTTTACTCCACATTAACTAAATACCTTATTAGATCTGGATCTTAGGGGAAAATCTGGGTCTAATGAAGTATTTGTGCCTGTGAGGATTGACTCTTGGAACATGCCACGCATTTCCTGGGTGTCAATCTCCGCAGCTATTCTGCATCTTTGGATGAGAAAATAATGTGTGTGTGTGTGTGGGGGGGGGAGATTTTCCTCCTCACTCCTCCCATCTCCTTAGGTGTCATTTTCTAATGCCATGAGGACATGAGAAGAGGCTCCATGACGACCAGGGACCCTTTTCAGTAAATTTTAGGGTGTAAATCAGGGTCTTTGGGGTGGCTTCATGCTATTTCAATTTCAAGCAGGATAGCATGTAACCACACTGGGAGAAAAATCCCGGGGTTGTGGGAGAGGGTGGAGACTAGAACTCATGCCGAATTGGGTTATTTTATCCCATTTTGGCACATGTTTAGCTTTGTGTGGAAGTGCTCTTAGTCAAGACCAAACCTATAGTTGAAATCTTCCAAAAATGCACTTCATTCCCATTCACAATACTAATGTGACTCTATCAATATACCCACTTGAATGCAACTAAATGCTCAGAATAATCAGTACCATTAAATGGAAAGAGTAACTGAAAATATGCCTCTGGAGGAAAAAAAATAGCTTCCACTGCTTGATAAGTGCAAGTGAACATTGAAATGTAAATGGAAAGACATAAAGGTATTTCATGAACTTCTTAATGAGTCATCTACTACATTTGTATAATGCCAACCACACAATTTCACACTTCATCATTTTACAAGAATTTCATATAAAGACTTCAGTAGCGAAACAACTTTGAAACAATGTAATGAATGTAAATTAAACATTCTTTATTTGTAGAATACTGTGAAACATGGATCAGTCTGTCAAGATCCTAAAGTCCAATAGGCACAAGAAATGTCTTTAACTCCAATAGTTTTAGTGATCAATACTACTCATTCTTTATGTATGTCTAAATAGCCATAATGTGGCAGCTTTTCAGCAGCTTAGAAGAACTAAGGTCACAAGCTGAGTTCAGACACCAAGAACTTCATAAAGTAAATTGAATTGATGAGAATAGGTGTATTTCAAGAGTCTATCTTCAATCTCCATTACATAGCCCAGCTCTCCAATACTATTATCTTGTTCAGTGAATCAAGGGCATAAGTCATACTTGGCTTGTTCACTCTCAACACAGTGCCAAAGATGCATGTAGTGGCTCCTTCTCAATATCCCAAGCATGCTAGTGCTACCTTATCCACTTTTGATAGTTTTGGAAGGACTCTGTGCGTGAAGTGAGGTCCAAGTATTGCAGGAGGCAGTGGTGGCAACAAGGGAGACTTCCTGTGTTGTATAGACAACAGGGGAAGCTGGGTGGTGATGCTTCCTCCCAAGGGATGATGTGAAGAAAGATGTGGGCAATGTGAGGTGTGGGGTGACAGGTTCCCCCTGCACCTGCCAAATTCACTATGATCCATGATGAATCTCCCACTATTGCCCGAATAGGTGACATCCCTAGATGAGGTCCCTAGAAACTTCTCCACAGTGAAGATATCTGATTTATTACAGAAGCCAAATTCAAAAAGACATCTGAACATTTCCTTATGAATTCTCCCCATACCTTTACACTGATCACATTTATGATAAATGTCTGAATCAGTTCTAATTTCTTTAAGATTTTGAGAGACTGGGAAAGAATTCAAGGCAACTTCTACACTGGCAAGACTGCTGCTCCTCTGAAACTAATTGATTAATCTAATAAATCCCACTCATTTCTGAAAAATTCTTATAAGCACATGCACCATGAGTCTTTATGTATCCATCAAAGCTATTTGTGGCATTAAACTAAACAGTAATATTAAATAGCACAATAGGAATGCTAAGTCCAAGGATTACATTTCCCAGAAGCTCCTCTTCCTGGTTTATATCACTGATCATCCCAAGGGAGGGGAGAGGAAGGACCAAGAGATACCTGCAGCCTGGGAAAGGTTT